GTGTGGGTGTGGGTGTGTGCGTGTGAGTGGGTGTGCGTGTGAGTGGGTGTGCGTGTGAGTGGGTGTGGGTGTGGGTGTCGGTGTGGGTGTGGGTGAATGTGGGTGTGGGTGGATGTGGGGGTGGGTGTGAGTAAATCATAGACATTCACACCCACACCCACACCCACACACCCACACCGACACCCACACCCACACCCACACCCACACACCCACACTGACACCCACGCCCACACCCACACCCACACCCACACACCCACACGCACACGCACACCAACACCCACACCCAGCCACCACACACCCACACCCACACCCACACTCCACACCCTATACAACAAAAAAAAAAGAAGGGAGTGTTTTGTATCGACTGACAATTCTCTCATTGATGTTTTAGTATGAAGGAAGTCAATATAGAGAATTGATCTAAAGTGTTTTTTTGAACATTAATTATACAATAATTTGCTTCATTTTAGTTTCAATATATAAAAAATTATTCAAACGAATAACAACAACAAAAGGTATATAAATTTTTATTTCTTTCAAATTCTTTCTTTTTTTCTTGTCTGTATGTTTCCATTTTTGTTTGCATATACATACATCATTTCTTTTGTTGTTTTGATTTATTTATCAAGAGAAAAGACGAGAGAAAGAGAGAAAAAAAAAAGGAAAAATGAATGAAGTAAGATGTTCGTGATTGTCAAGGTTGGTTTATATTTATTTTCTTTGAGGTTTTGAATAATCATGATCATAATATTAAATTAATAAAACAAACAGATAGAATAATTGGGATTAATCATATTGAAGAAAAACTTATTACCAATCAACATTCATCATCACAAGAAGTATAAAAATTTATTTATTAAGAAATAGAAAATTATTATTATTATGATTCTTACATAATAGATTATAAATGAATATCATGAAGAATTAAGAATAAATTTAAAAAAAAAATACAAATAGAATGGAAAATATTATTCAACAAAATCCAATTTTATCTCAATCGAATCAAGATTCACGATTAAATCGTTCATTAGAAACAAGTCAAATTGTTGCAGTTGCTGCATCTATTAATTTAAAAGTATAAAGTCTTTTGAAAATAATAGAATTTTTTTCTTGTTATAAATTATGTACTTTTAAATATTATTGTTATAGAATCTTCTTTCTTACCAAGATGTTATGAATGCAATTGAACGTGATTATCATTTACATGAAGGACAAGAACGTGAAATAATTATGAAATTATGGTTAAAAGGACAAACAATGATTGCAATTTTACAACGTTTTAGATATTTATTACAAGATCTTAATATAGATGATAAAGATTTTTCTGAAGGATTAAAAGTTTGTATAAATAATATTCACAATAATTTATTCAATATTTACAACAAAAAAAAAGATTTCTATTAATACATATTTAACTATTGTTTATTCAAAATATGATTAGATTTTTTTCTGCTACACAAAACATATTCATATTTTCTTAAACAAAAAAAAAGGGTTATAACTAATATGTTTTTATGTATTCGAAATACATATATATATTTTTTTTTGTTGTACTGTTATTCTGAAATATGTGTATGGGAATGAGATTTTATTTCTACATATTGTTATTGCATTCTTTAAACACTTGTAAGTTATCTTTCTCAGACGGCTATTCTATTTATATGTAATAAGTATCTTGTTGATATTTTTTTTCTTTTTGATCTACAGATCGATTACATTTGAATTGTTTTTTTTTTGTTTTTATTTAGCAAATACGTGAAAAACTAAATTATGCTCATCGTGATGTATATTATCTTCAAGAAAAAAATCTTATACTTGAAAATCAAAATAATTTTCTTGAAAATGAATTTAAACGACAATTAGATAAAATAGTTGAAGAAAAAAATGAACATATTAATCGACTTATACATATTATTGATCAAACATATACACGATCAACTCAAATAAATAATCATATTAATGATGAATATTATTCATCAAGTAAATAAATAAAATAAATTTGATTATATTCTAAAAGTTAAAATAATAGACATCAAATATTTTATTAGTAGAAAAAAAAAATATAATGATCATATTATTTTTTTTTGCTTTTCTATGAAACCTTTTTACTATTCAACAAAATGGATTCTATATGTAATTGAGAATAAGAATAAGAATAAGTATATTTTATGTATACGTTATAATAATGAAAAATTCAAAGTCTCATCTAAATCTAAATTTTAACCAAGGTATGAATTGAAGTATACTTTTACATATCTCATTATACAAAATAAACTAACCTTGTGATTACTATTGATCAAGGTAATTTCGATTAATTGGAGAATTTTTCCTACAGTTAACAAACTTCAAATATAATCAAATTATAACAATAGAAACAAGGCTAATTTGATATCGAATTTTGTTTTTTTTTTTGCTTAGTAAGATCTTTATTAGAGCTCATCGGATTAATCTCGAACTCGAGATTTTTACTATTGTTTGATTCTGTCATTACATTTCAAAATATATTTTGTAAACTTTTTTTTATGATTGTTAAAAACAAAATTTCTCTTTTTTTCATTTCATTGTTTATAGTTTTGATTGGAATATGTAAAATATCTATGGGTGAATCCATGGAGACCCATCCACTTTTTGGAAAGGTCTTTTTTTTCGATTTTTTTTTTGTTCAAAAGGTTGATCTCGACTAGAAAACACTTTTGGTCAAAAAAAAATTAAATGCTCCCTTTCAAAAATTCCGAGTTTTCGAGCATTTTCTCGGAACACCTATGGTGTATTTTTATATATAGGGAAAATGGCATGAAATAGGATAGAAATTTTTTAAAAACAATTTTTTCGGATTTTTTTGGTTTTCAAAAATATAAACAAAGTCTAGAAACATGTTTCTTGAGGTACATCAGATCAATCCTAATGAACGTTTTGAATGCTCAGTCATTTTCTGGTTATCCATGAACATAAGACTACAGAAATCTAGTATAAGGAGGAGATGAAGAGGGCTATCCTTTATATCTGAATACTGAGTATCATCATCAGGGTTGATTTTAAAAAATTTGATTGACTGAAAAAGATATAAAGAAGATTTTTATTTGAATGTAAATGTCCTGATCTTTGTTGACCGAGATGTCAAACTATATTGAACAGTTGAATTGTTGATTGGTTTGAATTCATGCATACTTCGAATGCCTTGTATTGTACCTAAATAAATACAGACATTAAGGAATAGAAGAGAAAGTCTTTCTCACCAGCTGCTCGAAGTTTTTCGCTTCTAGTTTGCAGATAACTGTTCTTCGCTTCTTCTACTTCATCTGATTCAAGAAAGAACACATGAACACCAGGAATATCCTTGTTAGATCTTCTTGCCGTTTCAAGTTGTTGTTTCTGGGTGAATTCGTAGAAGTCTTTTGCATTTGACATGAGAATGTTCTTGGAAAGTGTAGCACGTCTAGCCGTGGACTTGAGTACCGCACCAATTCCATCGCCAGCACCCTTACCATGTCCTGTAGCTGTAAATGTCCAACAAGCATCCAAATCAAAATCGATCTTGTGGTGGATTAGGTTCAAAATGCTGGCATTGTTTTTGAAATGTGCACACGCACCATCGCTAAAGAAAAGGAAAGGATTGACGTCATACATAAACTTCAAAAACAGTAAAACTTACCTCACATAATTGATCTTCTTTACCAACGGAAAATTTTTCTTGATAAATCGAGTGAGAATTTTTTGTACACAGTGTACGAATACCGTTGTGTGTTCCATATAATCACTGATGATCGCTAAATTTCGTTGTTCTTTTCCAATGGTCAGATGAATTGTAAATAAGGTAACTTGGTGCTGACTAAAAAATCCTTGTTGAACTTCACGCTGCCGAACCAATGTATAATTCATTGAAAAATCTATTTGAGCAACAACGAAAGTCTTTTCTGTTGATTGACAGCGTAGCTCTTTGATATATTCACGTTGTTCGCGATTAATGTGTGTGTGAAGCAAGAATGGAGACCATCTTTCTTCAATTTCCGTTAATAAAGAGTCAGTTGAGCCAGACATCTGTTGAAGGTCGAACTTGTTATTGACTTTCTTCCACAAATTCCATGAACATTCGTCATCCAAATCGATCATATTGTTATCTGTGAGAATATCTGTGATGCTTTCAGTTGGACATTCATCACATTCACCATTAAAGCACTTTTCATTCGAGACAGTGCAAACCATTTGAGTAATCAGATCTTTCATATTGACCTTGCCACCAGTTGACCAAGAACCTGCATTGACACATTTTCGGTAGTAGTTGTTCCATCCCTGTAATAAAGCTACGTTACATTCGAATCAATATACAGCTGGTACAAACCTTCAATAATATATCCATGTTCTCATGTATAATACACATGCACGTTTCATGTGGTGTTACAGTTTTTACTTCACGTGGACGAAGAGCATTAAAAGTTGATCTTGCAACAGTTCCAGGATGTCGTTCATTGAAGATATGATAAGCATCCAAGACACTCATTTCTAAAAACCGAACTGCCACTGGTTGTCCTTTAATTTTAATTGTGTCTTTGGAATTGGATGAGGTTCGACTAATACCATCTTCACGATAGAAATTGACTACAGCATCAATTGTTGAATCAGATAAAGGAATATTTCCTCGTAGACATTGTGGATAAGCTAATATCGCATTATTTTTTCGAAGAACAAGCGATCGTCGAGCCTGATTTGACTTTGAGTTGAACCTGATAAGTGAAAAAAGTTTTTAGTAACATTTGATTGGAAAAATGCGAAGATATCGGACGAAATGAGGATAGAATACGCACCATTTTTTCAATTTTTTGTCGACCCCATTCTTTGGGAGCAATTGTCATCAAACGAACTTGTTCACTGTCATTACTATCAGCATATAACTTCTTTAATCCATCCAAAAGATCATTTGATTCACGTATCCTTAATCCATGAGGATTTGGATCATACGAAACTTGAGATTTTTCATCTAATACGTCACATAATCGATTAAGTTTTCTATATACTTCATCGACTTTGGCTCGAATGGGTAATACTGCTGATCTAAATACAAATTTCGTTTCAGAAAATTTAATTTAAATTTACAAATCTAACCTGTCATGGATCGGGTCTATGTTCAATAGTTGAAATACATTTGATAATTGTTCCATCGCTTTTTCTTTTTGATGTTCAAGTTCATAAAAAGCATGGCATATATCTTCATCCATTGATTCAGGATCAGTTGTTTCATCAGCACGTGGTGATTCATCATCGTCGTTTGACTCAGCTGTGATACCACTGTCCATATGTGGATTTTCTTTCTCTTCTTCATTCAGATCATTAAATTCAACATTGACATAATCATCATCATTTCTGTCATCATTGACAGGAGAATCTTGTGTCATTGATTCATCATCACTTGAACTTTCATTGTCGTTGAGCTTCTCTGATTGATGAGTCATAATTTTCTTCGATTCAAATGTATGACATCTTGCACATAACCAGCAAATTCTGGTGTAAGGCACATCATACTGACTGATCAAAAATTTCGATAGTTCGGATGACACGGCCTTTACTCCTTTTGGTACGCATCCAGATTTTTCATGCTTTATCGGATGTTCACAATTTTTTCGTCGTGGCATTGGAATAGATTTTTAAAGATAAAGAGATACTGATGGGTAGTCGATATTTTCTAATATCCAATGATTCATCTCGTAATCTTATTCGTGTGAAATCACAACATTTTTGAACAAGACTCTATATCTAAAGATGTCCTTAAAGAGAAATGAAATATCTATCATTTCGATAGTAGTGTCCCGTTCGATTCCATGGTCTCACTTTTTGAAGACGGTATACTAGCAAATCCTTCTAGTTATCAGGGCGGAGTTGTCAGTACGATTTCGTTATGTGAGGATAGTATCATGAAAGTTGTTATACTCCACGAGGCGAAGAAAATAAAAATTATTCAATTTAATTGAATACAATCTATGTTGACGAAATATAGCTATTGATATGTTCAGAGAAAATGACTAAGCATTGAAAACCTCCATTAGGATTGATCTGATGTACCTCAAGAAACATGTTTCTAGACTTTGTTTATATTTTTGAAAACCAAAAAAATCCGAAAAAATTGTTTTTAAAAAATTTCTATCCTATTTCATGCCATTTTCCCTATATATAAAAATACACCATAGGTGTTCCGAGAAAATGCTCGAAAACTCGGAATTTTTGAAAGGGAGCATTTAATTTTTTTTTGACCAAAAGTGTTTTCTAGTCGAGATCAGCCTTTTGAACAGAAAAAAATCGAAAAAAAAGACCTTTCCAAAAAAGTGGATGGGTCTCCATGGATTCACCCATATAATACTCCTCTAGACTGAGACGATGAATCCAACATAATTATTTATATATAGATTAAAATAATTTTTTATTGTCATTTGCTTTTTGTTCTAGTCTGAAATTAATGCTCAATCTGAATATCTTTCACAAAATGTTCTTAATGTAACATCAAAATATAAAGATAAATTAAATATAATTAAAGTTCGTTGGTAAGTCTTTATTTAGAGTCCCCCCCAAAAAAAGAACAAGATTAAAGAAATTTTGATTATTATTATTATTATAGAGAAAAAGCAGAACGTGAAAGACATGAAGTACAACTTCGTAATGAAAAATTTCAAAATGATAGACAACCGTTTGATGTAAAAAAGTTTGATATGGTTTCATCATGTCAATTTAATTACTTTTTGAATTGTTAAACAAAACGACTGCTGGTTCAATATCTGCTCCGTCAATAATTCCATTACGTGTTGGATATGCACAAAAATTTTCCATTGATACAAATACATTGATTGAAATACGTAGTGATACAAATGATGTTGATATTTATTATACATTAGATGGTTCAAAACCAGATGCATTTATAACATTAGCAACACGACGTTCGACTATACAATATAAAAAAAAACCATTTTATATACCAAGAGATATAGCTAATACAGGCAAAGTAACAATTAAAGCTATAGCTGTATCACGGTAAAGATATTTGAGAAAACAAAAAAATCAGTTTGAAGAATTTTTATTTTTTTTATTAAAATTTATTTAGTGATGGAATTCGAGAAAGTGTTATACTAACAAAAATATTTGATGTTAAAATTATTCCATCAGATCATTCATTATCGGATGAATATGAAAATCGATACTTATATGAATTACAACAAGAACGAAACGTAAAAAGTTTCAAAATGATAGATAATAAATAAATTCAATAGAAATTTACTTATCTCATGTTTATTGAAATACTGTATAGAATACTTTTTTTTTTATTATGAAATCATACCTATTTTTATATGAAATGTACAATGAATTTGAATCAAATGAAAGAATATTCTTTTTAGTATTTATTTAAGTAATCTGAAAAAGTATATTTTAGAAAAAGATGAGTTTTCATTAAAAGAAACTATGAATTCGATTTTTATAGAAAACATATCTGAATACATTGAATCTTTCATAAAATATTACGAAAATAAAATAATCTGTTGGATATATGAGTAAGTTTATGTGTTATTATAAGTGATTAATCAAGATGTTAAAGTTTAATTAAATATTCAATTTTTCAATATAAATATATTTTAGTTTGCAAAAATATTTATCTTTAATTTTATTTAAAAAAATTGATATTCAAGAATGTCTCGATATCTCAAGAGTTCAATTAGAAGATCACTAATATAATAGTAGTAATTTAATGCTTGTCTATCGATATTTCTTCATTAAAATGTTTTTTTTTCTATGAAGTTCAAAACCTATCAAAGTCATTGACACATCTTCAATTTTAGTTTTTAAATTTTGACTTGAAACTTTACATAGAGATAGATGTTAATGAATATAATTTATTGCAAAATATTTTTCATTTCGCCGATAAGAATATATCTAAAACTTTCATTACAAACTATTGTCAGTGAACTCAATCTCTGTGAAAAATTCAAATTCGAGATTTGAAAATGAAATATTTCTGAAGAATGTCATAGTATTATCTAAAAAACAATTTGTAAACATACAATTAGTAAAGCAATTGAACTTTTTTCTACATATTTAATTCAGTTAAATATTTATTAATTGATTTTATAATTTTACTTCAATAGGAATTAATGAGAAAGATGCAAAATGAAAATAAACAAATGCAACAAAAATTATCTGGTATCAAAAAAAAAAAATGTAATTTTATTTATTATTAATCAAATTTATATATAGAATCAATGCGTCGTTCAACAATTGATTCATTAGTACAAGAAAATCCAACTAATTATACATATTCAAATTCTCAAATACAAACAAATGTTTTAAGGTTTATCGAAACAAAATTACTTATTATTTGAGCTTTGTTTTTTCTTTTCTAGATGTGCACATTGTTTTGCACCTAAATCAAATGATTTATATACACGATTTTGTACGGAATATGGTCTATCTTGGCAAAAACTAACTCATAATCCACCGGATAATTATTCAGTAATTTAAAATAATTCTATCGGATATGATGACTACCCTTCATTTGAAAAAAAGAAACTACCTAATCCCATTCTGTTGAACAAGTCATAGTTATTTACGAAATTATTTTTTCATAAAAGTCATTATACCAGTTAAGATATATAAGAGCAATGATGAGTAATATGATCTCAAAAATAACCTATATCTGACATATATATATGAGTCTTTCGAAAACAGTAAAAAAACGTTTTTCTCTTTAAGAATCTTGATAAAGCTATTAATTCTTATAAGAAACCCGAACATATGTTCAATGTAATAGAACTACATATCCGAATCACATTCGATGTTCTGAAGCCTAAAAACAAAAAGAAAAGTCATATATTTTTCGATTCTCAGGAATCATACTTATAGAACTCGGAAAAAGTTGCATAGTTGGTTGCCTTTGTCCTCGACAGTCATATCTTACAACAGCCATCATTGCTATAATACCTGTTAACCAGTAACCCTCCCCCCAGAATAAAAGTGCATGCCCTTATACAGTGTCTTGGCACATCGCTATTTTTTGGATGGCCTTCTATTGGGGGTCAACTTTTGGTCAGTTTTTAATTAAAATCATTTAAAAAATGAATAATTAATTAATAACTTTAATTATTGGTTTTTGCTGAAAAAACTACCATTTTTTGTAAAAACCGTACTAATTATGATAGGAAAGGAAGGATTTCGCAGAAAAACATTAGAGAATCAGTTATATTTCCTTAATTATTAGTTAATATATATAAAAATTTCGATAATTTTGAAATATATTAATTAATTAGTACATGGCCTTCTAATATAGGGTGGCCGTCTATATTGGGGGGGGGGGAGGGTATATGACTTTTCAGAACTGTAAAATTTGATAAAGAGTATATCCTTCGAGGAATCATGTATTGTTCTACATAACAGTATTGATTACTTTACAAATGAATAGTAGTTATCTTATTTTACACGGATAATTTTTCTTTAACTAGACTAATATATGTACAAATTGTAAATCTACTATTCCATTTAATTCTAACACATGTGTTGTATGTGAAACACCAGTATCCAAAGAACCACAACAGCGACCAACTTCTCAAAATCAGGTTTCACAAAAATTAATCAAATTTTAATGTTCCTCTCTAGACAAGAATTCTATGTCCTCATTGTAAATCAACAAATCCAATACATTTACGAACATGTTATATTTGTGAAAATGTATTAATGCCAACATCAACACCACCAGTAGACAAAAAAAGAAAAATCTTATTTATTTTTTTTCCGTATTTATATTTCAATAGGAAAAACGAACTTCAATTTCAATTCCAACAATATCAAAACAAACAAATACAATGATGATAACATGTTCAAAATGTTTTCGTTTAAATAATCCTAATGCTCGTTTTTGTGATTGGTGTAGTTCATATCCTGATCATGCATCTACATCAATACAATGTACAAAATGTCATACTAATAATGATTCATTTGGAAAATTTTTTTCAACATGTGGATGTGTTCTTGAACCACCATTACGTATTATTGATACACGTCTTTAAAATGATTTGAATATTTCATCGTCATCAATGATTGCTAGTGTATATTAAAATTAAAGAATAAAAAGAAAACAAAAAAAAAGATTCTTATTTTCTATAGACATTAACACGTACTTCAGTTAATCCTCATCAATCATATTCAACAATTAAAAAAGAAGCTGCAACACAAACAGATGAAATTTATTATCCAAGTGCAAAAGATATTGATTTAATTATAACACAAAATAAAAAATTATTAAATGAAAAACTATTAAAAGAATATCGTCCAATATTAACATCTACAAGTTCAGGAAAAGGATATTGGCGACAACAATTAGATCATATTTGTGCTCATTTAAAAACTTATGCAGTTAATCGACCAGATTTTCAATCATTGATTGGTAAAGATCTTTAATATTTAAAAAAAACAAATACTTTTATTTTGTTATAATGAATAATAATTATTATTTAAAATATAAATTCTTTCTCTCTATATATATATCTTATATATTAATATTAAAAAAATTCATATATTGTTTAATTATTTTTTTAGGTGAACCACGTATGGGTAATATGATTCATGCAACTGTACATGAAAATGAATATCAAGTAACTATACAAACAGTATTTCGTAAACCAGAAAATCTTTCACAATCACCATTTTTTATTAATGAAACAAATGAATATTATCCAATAAATAGTGAACGAAGTTCACCATATTCAAATACAATTTATTCTGATAGTAGGCAAAAGTATTCTTTTGCAACAAAAATAACTTTGTTTTTTACATAGACGAATATCCAAGAGAAATTACAGAAAATATTGAGAGTGTAAGAATAAAATATTTTATTATAATTTTTTTTGTTGTCTTATTAAATTATCTATTATAATTAATAGTCAACTCATGCATTAATTCGATTATTTGAAAAAAAAATAATAATTATAATAAAAAATCATAACATCAAATCGATATATTAAAAGAAGTTCAACGTTTAATAAAAGAAAAAGCTGATGTTAATATTAAAAATAAAGAAGGTTATACGATTCTACAATTGGCTATATGCAATGGATATTATGAATGTTTAGAAACACTTATCATAGATGGAAAAGCTAAATTAGATAAAAAAGGACCGTAAGTTCTATATATATGTATATATCGAGATTTTAATATCAATTGAAATCAAAGATTGACTGTGTATTTTTTCTTTTTTTTGTTCAGATAAAAATTGATATTCGAAATGTTAAGAAATATTGATTTTGTTTTGTTTTGTAGGCGAGGTAATACAGCATTACATGAATGTTGTTTATTAGGACTTGATGGTGCTGAACCATTAAGAATTCTTCTCAAGTAAGTTTATATTTTTTAATTAGAAATTAAATAAGAAAATAATAAAATTTAATTTTTTTTTTTTTTTTGATAAAAGACATGGATGTGATGCATCTTGGTTAAATGATAAAAATGAAAGTGATATTGATATAGCAGCAAAACAAAATTGTCCAGAATTATTACAAGCTTTTTCTAAATATCAAAGTGAAAAAATGCTTAAACAACATATGAAAAATTCTTATGATGATCATACAAGAATAAAAACTATTCATGGTCATCATTCATCAGAAAAATTATAAAGAAAAGAAAAAATAAAAGTTTTTTCTTTCTTTCTTCATATTGGATAATAGTTGATGAATGTTTGTTTTTAGTTTTTTTTTATTATTGTTTTTTCTCAGCAACTGAGTGCTTTGTGTTTTAAATTCTTTCTTTGATACAAAATCTTACTGGGGATTAACAAAACTAATAAATAATGTCAAATAAAATAAAAAAAAGAATATGAATTAATTTTTAGTACGACTAATGTAGATGGTTATTATTTTAAGTCTTCTTCACTTTATCATTGCGATAAAATTCACTAAATTCTGAGTTAGATCGACCTATTGTTAGGATGATTTGTAATCTATTTTGATCAAGATTTTATTAATAAAATCTTAAAGTTTGAAAAACGACAAAGTTTACAAAAAGAAGGGACTTGTTATCAGCGAAATTGTCTGTACTTTCTTATAAAATTCTATTTTATATTACATATTTTGTCGATATCAGCAACCTTTGGCTAATAGTATAAAACCTTCTAATGCATTTTGTACTGTATACAACGAGATTTAGCTATGTTTGATGTCCTCAGAAAGATTAAGTTATAGAATGTTTTCATGGAAAATACTTGATTTATTTGCTTATATATTCAACTGATCTATATATGAAAAATTAAGCTGTTTTAGTTCTCTGCTGAATAGAATGTGAATATATGAGAAACAATTATTTCTTGCTTTTCTTTACATAAGGATATGATTCATGTCGCATACCATTAAATCTGGACAATAGGGTGTGGTGTGAATGAAGAGAATATCTACATCCAAATCAGAAAAAGTAAATTTTATTGGTACCTATCAATATGTGTTCGAAAGACTTTCTTTGTCCAAAAATGAATTAACAGTTTTTTTATACGATATAATCACAAAGAGTATACATTTACACTAATAAAAGAAATATCGTATGTTTACATTTTGATACGTTAAACATATTTTTTGTTGTAGGAAATCGAATTACTATTTTTTCGATAAGATTCAGCCGCATCAAAGTGATCCAATCTTGATCATTGATTTATTTTTCAACATGTTTTTTTGGACTAAATTTTACTACAGTACGATACATTTTATTTTAGTATTTTGACTGAGCCAAATGCCAGACGTCAAATTTATCGATGATAGAAAATATTTCATATTGTTTTGTGTTTTTTTTTCGAAACGAAGGTTTTTGAAATAGTCATTCTCATTTATATATCACTCAGATGCTTTTAATCATACTTCGGACATAGATTCTAGTGATATTTAGATGATTTTAAATTAATAAATATAATATAATAAACAAAAAAGTTCTTTATATAAGATGTAATCACAGTGAAAGAAAGAAAGAAACATGCAATTTAACTTTTCTTCAGCCGTTGTTTGTTTACACATTCTATCTGCACATTTTCACTGCCCTGCACAGACACGAACGGAAGAAGAAAAACTGATGGCAACTCGTTTGTTGTTAATGTATTTTTTTTCTGTTGATCTTTCTTGTTTGTCGTAATTGCACTTTCCGAAGAAATCCAACAACATCATGTAATCGACGTTATGGTTCATGTTTTGGCAAAGATATCAAGAAACATCCATTTTTATAGCAAACATGTTTCTTGATATATTTTCTATTAAAATACATTTACTATAAATATAATTTTAGTTATGTACGTGTGTATACAGGAAGAGTATGACGAAATTATATCTAAAGATTGTTTTTTTGGAAGAAGCAAATAAATAGAAAAGAAATAAAGCATTAAGAAAATTATCTTGTATTTTCAAATATTTTACTAAAAATATTATATATAGATGCGGGTGTCATTACATCAGAGAAGGGCTCTGCGTGTGGGAACTAATCTTTTTCGTAATTTATTGGAAAAAACTTCTTTATGAATTCAATATGTAATCTTTCAATTCGGTTCTAATCACTATTTATTTATATAGACATATGATTACCGAGACACAAAAACTCTATAATCGAAATATAATGAATTTTTTCACAAGAGAAAAACTTACAAAAAGGCGGAATGTTTAACAATAAATGCATGAACAAATTGCCCTTATGTTTTGTTAAAACCTATTTTATATATATTTTTCTTTTGAATATACTAACGATTAAGCTGAGAATTGTTGAGACAAAAATATTGATTCATTTTTCGAACAATTCAAAACAGGTCTGCAGAAATTTTACAACATCGTTTTTAAATCAGAACTTTGTGTTCTTTTCAAATTGCGGCACATAGTTGTACTAATCGATGTAGAAGCACAGAATAGGATCGTATCTTGTTCGAAATCGATTCCTTAATACTTTTCAATCATATTTATTATCAATATCTTTGCTAATTGCCGTAAAGACGCAATTGGCACTCTTCTCGATAATAGAGTTTTTTAAGTGTGGAAATTCAGGACTAACAATAATATATTTGGCAAGTAAAAATGTTTTTTGATTGTTGCTTCATTCACATTATTAACATGCCCGTCACAAGTAGCAGAATTGAAAAGAATAATAATAGAATAAATGACGTTGTTGGTAAAAACCAACCATATTTAACGTCGTAAAAAAATCTAAAAGAAAAAACATAAGACAGCAACTATAGGGTATGATGTTTGTCTTTGCAACTTTTGTACCCTCGTATGTAAATTTCAAACATATCATTCAACATAGACCAATATTTCAACTGATATAATTGTAGTGCAAACTATTGTGTACAATGTGTTATCGTTTGTATTTGAAACGCAAAGACTACCTTTACAGTACTTTGTCGTCAATCAAGATTTCCATATGTTTGATTTATTTTGTATTAAATATTAATCTTTGTTGATCGCTTTAATATTCGTGTAATATGTCTTTTTTTATTCAAAAGAGCTGCACAATTTGCTAGGATATCTATTAGGCAACTATTCTATTATTACAACTACATCAAGTCCATCCTGGCATCTCCAACAGAAGATGCCCTATCATAAAGTAGATCTCTACAGAACAAGCAACATCTTGCGCATCTCAATCTTCCAAAATGCCCCCATGAAAAATTCTTCTCTTTTCAATTTTGAGCATACGAATCAAATTGAACATGCATCTTATATGTACGTTATAATTAAATAGTCTGTTTGATAAGTACTTTTGTTTATCGTCAGTGTCGTGAACGTGTGACACTGTTGGTTTTTGCTTTTATACGTTCATCTGTAAAAGACCTAGGGTACAAATCAGTAATAGTGGAAACATTATGTTGTTCACGCTATGCCAAATGTTTTTATCCATGACTTTATCACACAAAACGGTATTTATGGTAGAGAAAGTATGATCCTTAAAAATGTTCAATATTTATCTATCTTGCGGATTGATTATACGGCATACGCAACCTTTTCGATTATCTAATTATCTAGCATTGGCACCATTGATGTCTCATTTTCAAATGATATTATGTGACAGTTTCACTTACGTATGTTAGTGAAGAATGTTCTTCCTATTTCTAAATATTTTTTCATCACATATTCCATTATTTCCAGCTCTTTGCTTAGAAAGAATGACACAACTTCTTTATCGATACTTTCGATGCATTACTATTCTTGGTTATGATGAAAATTTGTGTCATGATATTCTATGTTGGCAATCTCATTGCCTTTGAATTTTCAACAAAATAACTGAATAAGATGTCTTCTATGACTTTATTTTTACTGATTTTTGTGCAGTTGACGATTTTTTTTCTGCATTCCATCGTAACCAATAAGTCAATATTGATCATCGATGAAGTCTTTTCCAGATTCTACGCTGCTAACGTTTGAGAGTATCAGCATACGTCGATAAAAAGATGCAAGCAAGTCAGCTACATTATCGTTAATTTAGTCGTCGATTACAAGAAAATTCTCCATCATCATTGTTTAGTGTAAACATTTTCGCAAGCTAAGAAAAATTTCAAGAAAACCTCTATTTACATTATGAAAAAAAATAATAGACATTCGTATCACACCGGAAAAACAATTGAAAGTCCTAGAAAATCGATTCTTAAACATTCGTTCAATTTTAACGATCTCTTCAATATATTGGTAATCATACATAGTCTATAGATTGCCGGGACAAAAGATGCTTGTGAATTGATGGCTATGGAAAAAAGAAATCAATGTAATATGATCAATAGTGCTGAATTGATTTTAATGCATTTTTATTGATTCAAACTCGTCAATACAGAAGCAAAAAACTCTTAATGAGTTGCCAACACATCGAACGAAAGAAAAAAAATGAAGAAAATGCCATATTCCTTTTTTTCTGTAGCTCTTTGTTTACATATTCTATCTTCATAGTGACACTCACTATGCAAACATGAACGGAAGAAGAAAAAAAAAATCATCAATGGCAACAATAATAAAACTGCGTCAATTTAATATTTTGGTTTCGTTGCCTCGTTCGTTGTTGATCTTTCTTGTTTGTCTTAGTTACATTTTCAGAAGAAGCCGGACAGAAACTTGTGTATTTGTGCAAAGACATATGACATGCACTACAATGACGAAAGCTTTTTTTTTACTCATGCCTTCAATATTACTGTTCATTTTAGTATTAAAAAAAATACTTGGTATACTTTTCATTATTTATTTTTATTATAAACATATTTCTAGTGATGGACGTATGCATAGGACAGAAATTTTCTCAATGTTATAATTACTCGAACAACTATAGAACACAATGTATATCGCAGAAGGTTCAGTATAATGTGAACAGTTTTTCTCTAGGCGTATCACTAGTTAATGATATATAGAACATTTGACAAGGATAAAAATGGTTACTCGATTATTGCTACAATCAACATTGAATTCATTTTTCTAGCTGTTTCATTCATATCATCAAAATGTTCATAATAATCACAAGGAAAAGAAATTGAACTGACGGTGTCTTCGTCGCTTTTTTTTCATTTTTGCCCAAAAGAGAAAAAAAATCGTTATGAGAGAATAAAGAAAAATAAACAATCTATGACACAAGGTATCTGATGCAATGACACTTAAGTCATTGTACAGATTATAACAACCGTATTTCAAATGTAAACTAAGTAAAATTTGTTGTTGAGTGTCAACGACGAAAACACCCGAATTTCACACATATAATTCAACACAGTAGAATATTTCAGTCGGTGTCAATGAAGTTCAAACTCTTCTCTATATGAATATGTTTGCTTTGTATAAAATATTCATTTATGTTGAATTAAAACTCGGTAAGAAAACTTCTGTAATGTCTTTGTTTACATCATAAAAGATTTGTAAATGTTCTGGTCACACCAAAATAGTGAAGAATTCATTCGATTTTAACGATATATTCAATATGATGCTTATCATACTTAGTCTCTAGATCTTCGCAACATTAAATGACTCAAACATGCTAATTCGCTAGACGTCCAGAGATAGGCAGTGACAAAATGCTCTTGATGAAATGTTAACAACATCGAAAGATAATAAAAATTGCTTTTTGTGTATTTTTGTTTCGTTGGCTCATTCGTTGTTAATGTCCTTTTTTTTTGTTGATCTTTCTTGTTTGTTTCAATTGTATTTTCAGAAGAAACGCAAGAGAACGATGAAATCAGCGTTACGGCAAGTATATTTTTTATTCGAGGAACAAACTTTTGTGTTTGTCTGAAGGCATGCGATATGCACTATTATGATTGTGTTTTTTTAGTTGCTACTTTTGAATACAGAAAGAAAGATTCGTGTCCTAAATATCTCTACTAATTTGAACTAATATGCTTTGCAGCAAAATTAGAAAAAAAGAAAACAAAATAAAACGAGCATCATGTCAGTGAAATTCTGAATGATATTATATTCATTCTGTGAGTCCCGCTTATTTAACTTCATGACGATATTGGTCACACTCAAAAAAACATCATGAGCATAGCAGTACTTGTCTAATATGAGTTCGAATGCAAATTTTATATTCACGTATGGCACCAGCATATAAAAATAAACCATAAATTCTTTCTCACTTATAATTTTAATAAGTGAGAAAGAATTTATGAATATAGATGCAATTAGACAACTCTTAAATTATTACGCTATCTTATCGATCAAAGTTTGTGTGGCTTTCTGTAGCAAAGAACACTATCGGATTAGAATCGTAAATCTGCCATGTCCTTAGATCTAGTTTTCAATAGAATAGAGAATTATAAAGTATGAAACTGTGCGCGTTTCTTTCTACTTATTTTGTTTTTTTTTTATTTTGATGAAGTCAAACAAAACTTTTCGTGGGCTACATAGTCTTAGGGATTTTATCAGCTTTGGACATGTCAAATTAATGTGGGTAGGTATGAGTGTTGATGCTGAGGGTGTGATTTTTTTCTTAACCAACACCCACACTCACATCCCGAAGAATGCTTATTGAAATACTTCATTCAATTTTTTTTTGAGTTGATAATCGGTGCTTCAATGTTTCATGATTTCCGAATTCGTATTAAGGAACTCGTAATCACTTTAGTAACCACGAGGAATAATACATATCGTTGTGAAATCAAGCAAAATGATAATTATTAATAAGATGCACTATATTTCACAGAGTAAAAAACAGTCGTTGCTTGGATGTTGCTTCAATAAAAATAAAACCTTTTTTTTTCTTATTTTGTTTACATTATTACAATATTCATTGTAACCATAAGAAAACAAATCGAACTGGCAATGTCTATGTTGTTTTTTTTTTCATTCTTGCCAGTATGAAAGAAAAGACTCAAGTGCTTAAGTAGATGGAAAGCAAACGAAAGTTGGAAAGAATAACAATACAATTAATGATGTTGTTGGGTTTTTTCTCTTTCGTTTCTTATTGACAACCATTCATTCAATTACAATCTAGTTGAGTTCGTCCTTGAGTGTCAACAAAAAAAAAACAGCAGACATTGAATGAATAAATAGAAAAGGTAATAACTATTGAAACAACAATATATTCTTTACAACACACAATTACTAACCAAGCAGCAAACATGGCATCAAAAATGAGTCGAAATCAAAGACACCGTATGGCTGAAAATTATTTGGTCATATGGGTCGATGGAAATATCGACATGGCAAATCAAGATTGCCAAAATACAATGGAACAATTACGTGCTGTCGTCAATCAAGTTAATCCATGTAAGACAGCTGAACAATGCATACAACAGCTTATGGACAATCAAGAGGAGATCTCATTTGTTATCTCCTCAGGTGCTCTTGGACAACAGCTGGTACCAGATATTCATGATATGGCAAAATTAAATGCCATTTTTATATTTTGTGGCAATAAACAACGGCATCAAATATGGGCCCAAAATTGGGCAAAAATCAAAGGTATACATACTTCAATACAACCCATTTGTGATGCATTGAAAATGGCTGTCAACCAATG